GACTACAACTAACTAACTAACTACTACTACTACGTACACACTACACTACGTACTACACTACACGACTACAACTAACTAACTAACTACTACTACTACACACTACACACACACGACGACGACACACACACACACACACACACACACACACACACACACACACACACACACACACACACACACACACACACACACACACACACACACACACACACACACACACACATATATATATATATATATACATACATAAAGTACACTGTCGCTTCAGCTATTGCGTGACCATGTAATGCGTGTACGTGATTGTGCATTATATACAAGTTGTAACACCGCGTTCTGGTAATCCCTAATGTTTGACAACTTGACCGGTCGGCTGGATACAGGCCTGGCAGGGCGAGAGAGCGCGAGAGAAAGGGAGAGAATGGCGGGGTTCGATAATCGGATAAAGAAATGCCGTGCGTGGATCAGTTATATGGGGCAGGGCGCGAGAATGGACCGGGCCGGTTCCCACATCAATACACGCGCGTACACTGTGTCTTAATCTGTGCGCAGTGTATGGTGAGTGAATAAAGTTCATCGCGAGCGCGTTGTGAGTGAATGGGGTGGCGGAGCACTCGTTTCGTCGTTCTGCCCGTCTACGTGCCTCTTTCAGCCAGCAAACATGTTTACACGTGGCGTTGTTAGTTGAAGATGATGTTTTTGCTTGCGGTTACAGACGCACACTGTATACGCCTCTATGATTCGCTCACGGGCGTACAGTTAATCAAAGTTGAATATACTTGTAGCAAAGGCTATAACCTAGCCGCGTTTACATGCTACCGTGACATATATTATCGGCAACTCGTATTGTAATATAAATTGAGTTTTAACAGCACGTCGTAACTGGGTGTGTGTGTGTGTACATCGGTTTCCTGAAACGTGCCTGACCCGGCGAAACAACACAAATGTAGGCTATGTGTCAAAGCGACATGCTGATCCATTAAAACTTGATAAATATATGTCAAGGTGCATATAAATTATGCTGTTAGACTATCAGTGCATGCGAAGGGCGTAACAATTGCGTGTTATCATATTCACATACACAAGGATGTAACGGGTTCATACACAAGATAAATACAAGTTGTACGATAACGTCGTCATAGACACCGACCGCGTTCAACGGCTACGCCGTGCAAAGAAAATACTCACGATAACAAATTTCCAGTAAAGGAAACCGGAACTTAGTAATGCTACACGACAACACGCACACATCAATGTACAAGTACGAATGTGCAACGATGCAAGCGAACAGTATATCTGTTATCGCCGTATAGATACATGTAAACACGTACCTGTTTTTCGCCGCTGCTGCTCTGTCCCGTTGTCGCCTATTTTTGAACCAGTTTCCTACTTGTGTCGGCGTTAGTCCCGTGGCCTGCGCCAGCTCTCGCTTTTTGGTCGGATTCGGGTACGGATCTTGCAGGTACCATTCTCGTAACAAACCGCGAGTCCTCTCCTTAAAACAGTGCGTTTTCTGCTCGCCGTCCCAGATGGTTCGCGGCAGCGGGAACTTCTTACGAACACGATACTTGTCGACGGGCCCGAGCGGCCGCCCTCGCAGCTTCTCCGCCTCCTGGTAGTGTGACTCCAGCCACATCGCCTGCAGCTTGGTGTGCGAGTCCTTGCCGAAGCGAAAGTTTTCGAGTATGTGGTAGAGTTCTCGGAAGCTGCCGTGATGGTAGGCGACAAGCGCCCGCGCCCGCATCACCGCCTCGTTTTTGTTCAGCGACTCGCAGTTGCCGTGCGCGGCTGGTAGGGACCAGAGGAAGCGGGCTAGCCGCTCAACGTCTCCGCTCTCCTCCAGTGTCTCACACACCCTCGCTACCTGCGCCGGGGTGAAGCTGAGCGACGGGAGAGGAGCGAACATGAGTGTGGGCATCGCGGCGATGCCGGGCATGGGGAAGCCGCCGGGGGGACCGGACGTAGGGGCTGTCATCCACATCGGACTGATATCTGCATGCAATCGTCCGTCCACGGTTGGGGAATGTCGCACGCAGCAACGCGCTTCTCTCTCTCTCTCGTTTCTGTCGGAGACTCACTCTGAAGTAGGCGCGGGGCTGATCCACGGCTGTGAGCCGGCGCTGTGAGTGACGGGGTGGAGCTCGCTGGCGCACGATATGTCGGTCGTTATCGGCGCACACGCCACGACTGCCCAGCTAATAGCAACTATCACGCTTCTTAGCCGGCGACAATACGCGCGCTGATTGGTCGGCTCGCGCCTCATTATCCGGTTGCTCGGGCAACGCCGCTATTGAAAGTCAATCATAGCCGGCGAGTGGTAATTTGGCACTGAGGAGCTCTCGCACGAGCCGAGGCGGGTAGTTCATTTTCCTAGCCCCCCTCTCCAGTTCTCAACGGCCCTCGTGGCGCGACTCTCGTGTACGCACGTTTCACGCGTCGTGGGGAATGGCCGGAACGGCGTCTTCCAGAGCGCAGAATGCCTCTCATCGCGCGACTAGGCTTGAAAAGAACGAGGCGTAGATGAGAGGGAGAGAAAGAGCGAGAATATGGGAAGAAGGAACGAGAAAGAAGGGGTGAGAGAGATTAAACAAAAGACAGAGAGCGAGTGAGATAGAGAGGGAGGGGGACAGCGAGAGAGAAAACGAAGAAAAGTACGAGATAGGTAAACAGAGAGGTTGGAGATACACATAGAGAAGGGGTATTGGAGAGGTAAATGAGATAACGAAAGAGAGAGAGAGAGAGAGAGAGAGAGATCCCGAAAGTTTTACCCGCCAGCGAAATCCTAGCAATCTGGATTTTAAATCAACACACTTGGAATAACAGCAGCAGCGTAACAGTGACTGCATTGTGTCAACAGGCGGCACGAACAGCCCCACCGTAACTTTGCCGCGCTTATTGTATCGCTCGCAGACGTATGCATCCCGATATCCATCTCCGCGCATTGCCGGAGCTATAGCCCAGGCCTGTCGCCTCTACCCGCCTCGAACTTCGTTATTACCCGGACGAGCGCATTCCAACCAAAGTGGTTATCAAAACAAATACACTGCGATAATACATTGTCCGTATTATCGTCCTAGCTAACCGGCGTGCCACTTGACAAAATAGAGCCGGGCGTAAGTCCAATCACTGCGCGGATTGTTGAAGCGGTGCTCGGGCGTGTTGTTACAAGCGCTCGCCCACAGCTGATACAATTATTGTATATCCTACGAATTATAATTACCAGGTGTGCAGAATTAGGGTAGTACGGGAATTTGTAAAGTAGTTTGCGCGTCGGTAGACTGTTGGTGGATTTCAGTCGGTTATTATATAGAGGCGATATAGTCGCTGTATCAGCGCTCATAAAAAAAGCTGTTATTTGCTTATTACATCTATACATCTATATATACAAAGATACGATGTGTAGTTTAGAAATCAGATAGTACATGTACTGTATGTACTGTGCGGGGGTGTCAACAAAAAAGCGTAATTCTGCGTACACGGAAATAAATAACTCTGCGTTACAGAATGTTCTGGGAGTGAAGTTCATCGCCTAAATTTATGCACGTAAAGCATATTTCACTTGACAAATAGAACAAGTTAAATATCAACACGAAAGATAGTATGTGTGAATACATAGTTCTCGGTTTGGTGCATGTTTGTGCATGTGTATGTGTGTGTGTGTGGGCGCGCGTGTGTGTGTGTGTGTGTGTGTGTGTGTGTGTGTGTGTGTGTGTGTGTGTGTGTGTGTGTGTGCGCGTGTGTGTGTGTGTGTGTGTGTGGTGTGGTGTGTGTGCGTGCGTGCGTGCGTGCGTGCGTGCGCGCGTGTATGTATGTGTGTACGCGCGCGTGTGTGCGTCTGCGCGCGCGTGTATGCGTCTGCGCGCGCATGCACGCATACGTCTACGTTCACTTTATTTCTACTCGTTCGACGAGCAGCGCTGTAAAATGTTCATGCACGCGGTGCACGCCCATTCAACTGCAGTGGCGTGTTTGCGACCGGCTGGCAGCTAGGCTATTGTGCCCGCGTAATAATGGACGCCGACTCCTCTCACGTATACGGCCTATCTTATAACAGTTACAAGGAAAATTATAAGATATCAGTTTGCACATGATTCACGCCGATCACGCGAAGGCGGCCTGGCGTCACGGGCCTGTGGCGTTCTTACAACATGGCCACGTCAAGCTGAATACTAGTTACTCTTCCGACGTGGTGGCCGGTTACTAATCAGCGATCATAATAGTTAGTTTGTGCCAAACTGCGAGTAAAAACCGATAGATTCGCTACTTCAGTCAACTAATCGAGAGCAATAGTTTATTTATGATAGCTCGGCGGTGTTATACACAATGTTACCTTTGTGTGAAATGCAGCTCGGCGGCGAATTCGCATCCCCAGAGTTCGCGAGTAGCTGGCTGGCTATTCGTTGAGCAACCGACATGCGAATTAGCGGCGTGTGGTGTTTATGTTATTCTTCGGCCCGGGAGTATATCATAGTTTCCTGAGGCGGTACCAGTTTTGAAACAATCATCCCTGTTCATTGAGCGGTTACACTAATTTGTCTGGACAAGAACCCGATGCGGCAGCTACTTATACACCTACGTATTCACGCGTGAGATGAACACCGCTGATAGGACGTGTGACGAATCTAGTTGTTAATGTATGTTTTTCATCGTATACAACAACGTATGATATCCTCTTTAACTAGGTCAAACTGTTGCGCAATCCCACTTGACTCTATTTATGGTATTATTAAGGTGGCAATCGTTTGTTTCTTGGTTATTTTCGCATAATTTTTCTAAAACATGCGTTAAACAATCCTTCAAAAAGACAAACGGATAGATGGATACGCACACATGGGTGCATACACTCACCCAAGCACCCAACCACCCATTCAGGCACCCCCCACACACGCACACATACTCATACACGCACCAACGTACGCACGAACACACACAAACATACAGAAACACTGAGCTCACACACACATGCACGCACGCGCGTAGGCGTACATCGTATAGATTCTAACCTTGTTTTATAAATGAAATAATTTCATCCACCAATAGCATGAATATATGTGTAGCTATTACCCGCATCCTCGCGAAAGGTAACATATATGTCTGCAGCAGATAGCGCGCGCTCCACTAAATGCGCGAGCGCACAAAATACGTCTCTATTAGCATTCTGATCATGCGCCTTCCGCGCTATGTCGAAATAATTGCCAAATCGATCGTTTTAATATTTAAAGTCAACGTTGAAGTCAGCTCCCCTCCCTCACACCTGCTATGCAGCTATAGCGAAGAGATGTCAGATGCCAAACCAGATAGCAAGTTTGGCTCTTCTTGTAACAGCAGCTACCGCCTCGCCATCGCCGACTAACTCCGCCTGACAAGATCCACAATGAGAGCAAGCCCACTCAATGCTGTTCAGGTTCAAATGAAAACTGCCTCGACCCTTCAAAGCGGGCACGCTCTCAGCAATTTGATATCACAGTGCCAACACCGGTTAGTATCAGCGTAGCTCCTGCGTCGTGTTATTCTCGAATTGCTAATAGTTGATTTTACGCCAGTGAAATACCCAGCCGTACTGAGAACAAAAAAATACAAAAGCGATATCACCACGACACGGACATCCTTATCGTAGTGAAACATACACCGGTTGTAGTACACCTATATACGAAAAGCTGGATTGCAATTCAACGTGTTTAAAAAAAATGAGATTCAAAATCGGAACAAACACAACTTGATTCGCAGAAATCGCATAGCAATAAAGTAAACCCGATAAAGACTCTGCGTATCGTATATTGGACTAACGATGAAACCTCATATAGCACGACTAAACCTAATAACAACACTACGCTGCATGGGTAATCGCTCGTATAATACAGCGCTGGGAATATTAATGAAAATTGCATATATTCAATGCGATCACAACTCTCTCTCTCTCTCTCCCTCTCACTCACTCTCTCTTTCTCTATCTCCTTTTCGGTCTGTGTGTGTATGTGTCTGTGTCTGTTTCTGTCTCTCTCCCTCTCTCTCGCTTTCACTGTCTCCCTTTCTCTGCGTGTGTCTGTGTCTCTCTCTCTCTCTCTCTCTCTCTCTCTCTCCTCTAATCTATCTCTATCTATCTCTGCTCTCTCTCTCTCTCTCTCTCTCTCTCTCTCTCCTCTCTCGCTCGCTCTCTCTCTCTCTCTCTCTCTCTCTCTCTCTCTCTCTATCTCTCACTCTCCATCTCTGTCTGGTCTGTCTCTCTCTCTCTCTCTCTCTCTCTCTCTCTCTCTCTCTCTCTCTCTACTCTCTCTCTCTGTTCTTCTCTCTCTCTCTCTCTCTCTCTCTTCTCTCTCTCTCTTTCTCTCGCTCTGCCTGTCGCACACTCACTTCCCTCTCTACTGAGATGCGATGAGAACGGAATAGTCGCGCCCACTGACTCGGCTGGAGGTGGCGTCTGTGCTGCTCATGGATTGTGACCTAGTAGGGATCGTTCACACTGCACAGCGCCAGCGAGTGCAATCGCTCCCCTATCTCCCCGCGTGATTCCACGCTAATCCAGTTGCGCCGTCGGCTGCATGTCTGCATGCCTGTCGACTTGCGCACATGCCTGTCGGCTTGTGTGCCTGCCTGCATGCCTGCCTGCCTGCCTGCACGCATGCATGCATGCCTGCCTTCCTGCATGCATGCCTGCCTGCCTGCTTGCATGCCTGCCTACTTGTGTGCCTGCATGCCTGCATGCCTGTCGGCTTGTGTGCCTGCCTGCCTGCATGCATGCCTGCCTGTCTGCCCGCATGCATGCCTGCCTTCCTGCATGCATGCCTGCCTGCCTGCTTGCATGCCTGTTGGCTTGTGTGCCTGCTTGCCTGCATGCCTGTCGGCTTGTGTCCCTGCCTGCATGCTTGCCTGCCTGTCGGCATGTGTGCCTGCCTGCATGCCTGCCTGCCTGTCTGCTTGTGTGCTTTCCTGCCTGCATGCCTGCCGGATTGTGTGCTTGCATGCTTGCATGCCTGTCTGCATGCCTGCCTGTCTGCCCGCATGCATGCCTGCCTTTCTGCATGCATGCCTGCCTGTCTGCATGCCTGCCTGTCTGCCCGCATGCATGCCTGCCTTCCTGCATGCATGCCTGCCTGCTTGAATGCCTGCTTGCATGCCTGCCTGTCTGCCTGCCTGCCTGCCTGCTTGCATGCCTGCCTGCCTGCTTGCATGC